GCTCCCCCGGCGGCCGGGCGAAGGAGGGGGGGGGGGGGGAAGCGAGGCGGCGGGGCGATCTCTCCATTCTATTCTATGGCACATAGAACAGGATGGAGAGATCGTGCCGCTGCTTCCCCCCCCTGCTCACCTTGGCAGACTGGCTGGGAAAGGGGAGGCTTTTCAAGATCCCCCCCCCCTTTTTGGTTATCCAGCTGGCCTGCCAAGGCGGTGGGCTCTGTATCCTTATATGCTGCTGAGGTGGCCCCCGTATGACAGCCAATGTGACGTAGCAGTCAGGGCTTCAGAGCACAGGAGAGGCTGCAGGTGTGTGGGGGGTGGAAAGCTGAAGAGTGAGGGGAAAATAAAGGTAGGTTGATGATTGGCTGGGAAGGAGATAGGGTTGCCAACTCCAGGGTGAAAATTCCTGGAGATGTGAGGGATGGAGCCTGGAGAGGGTGAGGTTTCAGGAGGCGTGGGACCTCAGACAGGTACAAAGACATAAACTCCACTCTCCAAACCAACCATTCCCTTCCGGGGAACCATCTTTGGCAATCTCCAGGTGAGGGCTGGAGGTCATTCAAAATTACAGCTGTTCTTTAGGTTGCAGAGATCAGTTCCTCTGGAGAAAATGGTGGACTCAGCGTCATTATACCCTGCTGAGGTCGCCACAGCAAATTGACACTGAGTGTCCAAGGCCGAGGCACCCGCCCAGAGCCTCTTTCTAGAGGCCGTTGTATTTATTTCCACAACAAGCCTTTTTCCTAGTAGAATATAATGGAGAGATCGTGCCACTATTGCGGCGCAGCTTTAGGCAGAAAGAGTTTGGGGGCAGGGAGCTGGGGGCAAGGCTTGCCGCCACCGCCATTTGTGCCCGCTCCTGGGCTCCCAGAGCGGTGCTCTGGCCCGCTCCAGCCCCAAATGACCCCTGATGGAGACTATATCTCTACCTACAAACATCATGTCATCATTTTCATGTTTTGAGCAAATTTGTAACAGAATGACTATGTGATAGGTCAGGTATAAAAAAAGTTTTATCTTTTTATATATAGGTACCAGTTTCAGAGAATGTATACAGAAATGCCGAGGAAATCTGATGATGAAATGAATTCAATCAATCTAAAGTCATTATCAGTTCTTGAGAGAGAATGAACCAAGGGTCTTTGCCAAATGTTACCAGACTCCACACATGGATTCAGAAAAACAGCCTGGCCTTCTTGCATATATTATGGATTTTGCCACTTATATCACTGATGCCAACATAGAAACATTTCTTGCATTGGGATGCAATAACTTTGGCAAAAATTAAGCAGTACCAGGATCACTGTGTTCATTAATTAACTACTTCAGCAATATTTTATTTGGAATTCTGTCACAACCCTGGAAACAGAGATAGAAAATCAGGTACTGTACATGCCTTTGCATTACTTTCAGTATCTGGACAATTGTTCTTGGTTGGCCACTGCAACCAGGATCCCAAGTAAAGGTAAAGTAAGAAGGCCACAATCTCATCAGTAAGCACTTTATTTATTTATTTTATTCAATTTATACCCCGCCCTTCCTACCAAAGCAGGCTCAGGGCGACTCAGGTCTATGTGACAGCCACTTAAAGGGGGATAAAAAGGAGCAAGAAGCCCCTTCCTTTCACTCTACTGCCATACCCTGAAAATATAAACTTACCCTTTGCTGCTGCGCCTTCTGAATCGTTGTGATCTGTTGGGCTACCACAGACAACACTTCAATGTCAATGCGGTTGAACTCATCAAAGCAAGCCCATGCTCCTGAGCTGAGCATATAAAAGAAGGGCAATGTCACGAATCCACAGAGGTAGAATTTTTTATTTACAAGCAATTCCATCAGTCTTAAAAGTTATGGGATATTAGAGAGGGAAGAGAGGAAATGAGTATTATAGTAATATCTTCTGATCTGCTAGGTGTGCGAATGTGTAGATGCCATATTTTAAAAGGCAGCTCTATCACCAGGGTCATATTAAACACAATATGCCTCATACATCTTTTTATTTTTTTGTCCACAGTTCTATTGGTGTGGGTTGTAAAGCTCAATCAGCTGAAGTCCCAACTGTCTTCAAGGGCTCACACATAGAATACGTTAGACTAGTCACTAGTATGATCAAGAAGCTGTTACAGCATACAGGACAGCAACCTGCTCTTTTGCCTCCAGAAAAGACTGCGGCAGGTAATTGAATGAGCAGAAAAAGCATGCTCTTTGGATGTGAACCAGCATTGCTGGATCCATAAGTCTGGCCCCTAAAGAGAAGGGAATATTATTAAGAATAAGTATATTTGAATAGGCAGATGCGCCCATCATAAGATGCTCTATCTTGCTTGGACTGGGCTTGGTTTATTCACTCTCACCCAGTTTGTCACTGATAATCAGGCAGCCATTCATGGAGAAACTTGTTCCACCTGATGAAGTAAAGGAGCAACGAAGCTGGGTACCATCAGCATAGTGAAGACCCCACATGCCAAACCTTCACACCCTACCATATTAATGTGTGTGTGTTAAGTGCCATCAAGTTGCTTCCAACCTGTGGCAACCCTATGAATTCATGACCTCCAAAACATCCTGTCATTAATACAGTCTTGCAAACTGAAGGCCACAGCTTCCTGTACTGAGCCAGTCCATCTCACAGTGGGTCTTTTCCTGCTGCCTTAAACTTTTCCTAGCATTACTGTCTTTTCCAGTGACTCGTCTTCTCTTAATGTGACCAAAGGACTAAAGGCTCAGTTAAGTCATTTTAGCTTCTAGGGAGAATTCCAGCTTGATTTGATCTAGAACCCACTTAACAAGTAATAAGTAGCACCATTAATAAGTAGCATCATATTTTTATACCTGGCTAGTCCTTTCAGGAATTTTCCCATTGCCATGAAGTCAAGCTGATCAGAGCAATTAAACACTACAGTCTGGATAGCTAAAGCTTTGCCCAGATCCTTAGTTGTTTCTGTTTTGCCTGTTCCAGCTGGTCCCGCAGGGGCACCTCCAAATTTCAAGTGCAAAGCTCCAGTAAGTGTCAGGTAGCATCTATCACAAAGAATAAGAGAATCAACCCATTTTCTGACTGGAAGGGATCCTTAAGTTTTCTAGTCAAATAACCCACACTACAAAATTTACAAAGTGTCAAATAAGAAGATCATACAGATTCCATTTAAAGAGCACCATAGACTAAGAAGATTGTATCTGCAGAAGAGAATCACATTTAGCAAAACAATGCTGCAAGAAAAAAAGTTTAAAAGCATTCACTAGCCAGCCTGATCTAAACATTCCAACCTCCCAGTTTACGATCAGTTAGACCTATAACATGCCAGCAAGTTAGAGCTAAAACATGCATCTGATAAGGCCCCTGAGAACAATTATCCTATAATTTCAGAACCCCATTTTATATCCTTCTTGCTCTCTTCTGCAAAAGCACCAATAATCAATACTGATGCTCATCACCAGGCGTAAGAATTTTATATGCAAAAGTAGGCCCTATGGAATTATTCCAGACAATGAAGATTCATCATTCAATATTAGTCACAGAGGATCACTTGCTTAAATTGCTTCTGCAAATTACTGCAAAATTGTATGGCCATATCCTTATTCAATCTGGAGAAGATTCATTCCATATTCCATATAGATGCATGACTAATACATTGTCCTTAATAAAGACAAATATAGAAGTACTGGCTTACACATCTTTACTAAAGATAAATATTTTCCAAAAAGAAGCTTGTGTTTCTCCAGGACACATGATGCTGGATCTCAGAACTGTGCACAGAGCAGAGCTTGCAAAATGGAACTTTTCTGGCTCTTCTTTCCTCCTGAAGCCCCCTCTACCTCTCCCCCAAGCCACAAGAGTTGGGGACCCCTCAGAAACGATGGTATGTGCAAACATGACAATTTTGAGAGTCCTACAGATATCATACTATGAGTCAAGCAGACTTGCATCGAATAGTTCTTGTCCCACAAACAGTTCCACTACTGCACATGCATAGCTAATGCTCTCCTATCCAGACTCTGTGCTTGACACCGTCTCTGTCTTCCTACTGGTTTATTATTAACCAGTCTGGTTTATAATAGCTTCTAGGTCCACTCTTGGACCTTGCCTGAGCAATCAGAGGTCTTGCTATCTGACTGCCTATCTTTGTGCATTCCTGTAAATGTCTCTCTCCAGCTGCACCTGCCCCCTGCACCGACCACCATTAACCATGGTTTACTTGTTTACGTGGTTGGACTAAACTTACAATACAAACCAATGTTCTGACAACTTCCTCAACAAGACATAGAATACCTGAGCTACTGCTACTAGCATGTTCCAAAATTTTTTTCCTGGATCCTATCAGAGCTCTCCACATCCTCTGTTCATGACAATACAGACCATGGTTTACTTGCTTATAGATCTAGCAAAGATGGTAGTGTTTATCCTTTAATTCTTCTTTCAAAGAAAGATCTATTTATAAAGGACTACAGAGATATGTGGCTGTTATTCTAAGTATAATAAGGTTTTATACCTGTCAGTGAGAGGGGTGATTACCAGGCGCCCACTGTTGCCCAAATATTCGTAGCCATATATAAATTCAGCATTCACTGCCCTGATGTACAAATCGTCTCTTGTCCAATAGTATCTAATAATAAATTAAAAAATCAAACACAAATTGTACACAGGAGAAAAACCGTAACAGCTAATAAAGACATCAAAATCTACAATATTTTACTGTACTACTGTCCCACTCATCTGGACCATATTTTATTAACTTTAAGCAATGTTTATTCTATGTTAAAGTTGCATAAGTCATTGGTACATGTGAACATTTCACAATTACATATACATCTTATTTATGCAGATCAGAACCGTAGTACAAAATGGATTCTACAAATCTTTCCCATGGCCAGAGAAAAAACGAAACTAATGACCTCAGCAATTGATGTATAACTCTGTGGAAGAAAGACAACTTGTTAGCCTGGAACTATGGCTTTTCTAAGTACAATGATATAATCAGAAACAGTTCAAAGTACATTGTGATGATGACAACCAGGGGTCATTTCGTAGAAAAATCGCTGCAGGAGCTCATTAGCATAATAGCTCATTAGCATATGCCATGCCCCCTGACATCACCGGAAGTGATGTCAGAAGGGGAAGCAGGGGGGGCATCTTCAAAAGCCTCCCCTACCCTTCCCACTTTAAACCCCTTCTCTCTTCGCTTCTCTGCCCGCAGCCCAGCTGGGGAAGGGGAGGCTTTTGAAGATCCTTTTTGCTTCCCCAGTTGGCCTGCCAAGGCGGGCTGGGAGGGGGAAGTGAAGAGAGAAGGGGTTTAAACTGATTTTCTCTCTCAAACAGAAAAACACAAATCACAAAGCATTTTGAAAAATCCTGTTAATTGTGATGTTGAAATTTAAGTCTCTTTAATGTTTCCATTTCAGGCATATCAGAATCTCATTTTGCGTACCTTTTCTTTAGCAAATTTTGTCACCAGTTACTCCAGTTTAATCATTGGGTTTAGACTGGGGTAACTCTGAATGAGATTGCACTGTGAATCTCAAATGATGTGCTTTTCAAGCTAGGTTGTTGCCTGCCTGAAACCTCAGGATGGAGTGGGTTAGCAATGGTAAAAACAATAGCCTACTGAAAACATGAAACATTAAAATGGTATCTGGAATTAAAGTTACCCCATGCATGCATAATTCTGGTCATTAAACACCACTGGCCTCCTTTAAAAGGAGCTAGGGCTGAAAGTTGCTCCTAAACCACTCCTTACTTCTCATGTAGATGGCTAACCTGTGGTTATTTGATGGTGAGGGGGGATGCACATTGCACATGTTCAGAGACACTCTTGACAGTCCAGCAATGATCTCAACATTCAACAGTGGCTGAGCTATGATGCACCTTAGTAGCTGTATAACTAGGAAAATCCCAACAGGTACATAAGTACCTTGCTTGAGGGAGGGAGGAGAAGCCGAGGAGGAAGGGAGGGAAGGAAACAAAGGCCCATCGTGGCACCCCCGTGTGCACAATGAAGCCCGACCACCTAGCCACCCAGGAAGGATGAAGCCCCTGGCTGGCACTCGGCTAGGTGGCCCCCGCCAGGCCCACACACTGCGCCCCCTTGCGCACATCCCACCTCGCGCACTCACTGGATGCGGCTGGACACCTTGCGGGGCGGCAACGGAGCGGAGCAGGGCTTTTGTACTGTCTAATAATCATATTAATAACAGATAAAAGGAAACCCCTCACCTGAGCTGGGAAATCCATTCAAAATCATTTTCACTCATAACATTCTCTTCAATGAGTTTAGCTGCCACATCCTTGGCATGGACTTCAATCACAATGAGAGCAGATAACACCCCCCGTTGCATCCGAGACAACTTCCCTCGCACAAGTGCTACTAGATCACTCAGCTGTGTAAGGAAAGCAAAACAAGCCAGACAATGCCCTGGAGAAAAGATCATGCCTGTCTCTTTACAGTGCTTTAGCTAGCAATGTATGAAACATGTAAGAAAACCAGTGTTCCTTAGGAGAGAAAAAACAACCACATACTTTGTTTAAATTTACTTCCAGAGGAAACCACAAGAAACATCATTGGACACTGCATATACCGTGTTTCCCCGAAAATAAGACACTGTCTTATATTTATTTTTTCTCAAGAAGACACACTAGGGCTTATACCACAAATGCATAGAAATCCTGCTAGGGCTTATTTTTGGGGTAGGTCTTATTTTTGGGGAAACAGGGTACTAAAACTTAGATTTCACATTTTTATTTATTGCACCAGGCAGTGGCGTGCCAAGTGCAGGGCAGTGGGAGCAGTCTGCCCCAGGTGCAGGAAATAAGGGGGTGCACTGTCATACCCCAGAACGTATTCCAGGCAAAAAGAACCTGGCAAGACAAAGATCTTGGGACTGTGGCACAGAGATGATTGGACTAAAAGCTCCCTCCCAATTCTATGCTTCCAAACTGCCTGGCAGGGTTTAGCAGGCAGCAGGGCTTTGAAAACATGGCCAGGAGGTGGCTGCAAGTTACTTTCAAGGTGTGGGAAGTGCGACTGTTTGGCTGCAGAGTGGTTCCGGGGGGCCGAAGCCAAGCTCTTCTCCCCCATTGGAACCATTATCAGGTCCAACTCTCAAGCTCTTGCCAGGGTGGGATTAGAAATGGGCTGGTCACAATGAATTGGAAAAGTGCCGCTCAGGAGAGCTTTTTATGGGAACCACAATATTAAGGTCACCGTTTCTCATTGTAAATCTTGCATTCCTCCTTCTCCCGCCCCTTGCTTGCTCACCATTTCATATTTGAAATAAACAGATCTTCTTGCTGGGAAACACACACACACATACACACACACACACAAGCAAACCTTGCTTCTGATCTGACCAATGCTGTACTTCTGTCTATTATATGTTACAAACAAACAAATATTCTGTTAGCACAACGCAAAGGCAGCCTTTTCTCTTCATCTGTAAGCCACTTCTGAGTAAATATGCTTAGGATTGGAGGTGTAATCCCCCAAAGAAATCTCCTTGTCCTTGTTTTTCTTCCTACATGTGGTGAAGTCTTCTTTCTCAAAAAAGAAGCTTGTAGCTCCATCCCATGCATGTTTTTTTCTCAGAAGTAAATCCCACTGAGTTCAGGAAGGCTCTTCCAAGTAACAATTTATAAGAGGGTGCCCTTAGAGGGCAGGAAGGGGAAGGAAGAGTTAAAGCAGTGGGTGGTGTTTCCCTCTTCCCTCCCTGCCCACTGTACTGAGAGACTTGATGATCTGTTCTGGATGCCAAATAGGCTAGGTATGCCACTAGCACCAGGTGTACCGAGTACATGGAGCCATAGTTTTAGGTAAGTTTTCCTATGTACATAATAAATTTATTGATAACAGCAAATCAAAATCTATTGTATTCTAGATGGGACAAAGTCGGGTAGGATGACAAAGGAACAAACAGTAGATACTTTGGTTATGCCAGGTCCCTATGTTTCCATGTTTAACATGAGTTGGCCAAATGTGCAACTTTCGTGTAGTCAGGACTATTTTTACTTCTAGTAGGGAATACTGAAAGCAGGTTTTCCTTGCATAAATAATTATTCTAAGCACAAATTAAACATTTTTACCTGAACACTTAGCTGTGCAAACAGCCTGGAGGACAAATCCCCAGCTTCCAGGGCCTCTGACACTTCTTTTGTCCAGAATGTTTGACATCCAGCAATGGTCACCTGGCCTGGCCAATCTAAGACCCATGTAGTCCGTGGTGTCTTTATTAAAAACAGATTATTTTAATAGTAAATACAATAGATTTTTTGCCTTAACATCACTGTGTCAAGATTCACCTCTAGACAATTCTATCTTAGATACCACTCTGTTTTCTGTATAATTGAGTTGCTTGTTTATCTCTCCACAATACTTTCAGATTGCAAAAAATTCACTTGGTGTGATATAGTACTTACAATGCAAATTATCACATTGTTGAAGCTTAACTGAGATACTCTCTTAGTTTTACAATCAATGTGCGAGGGAAGGACCAGAAGGACACACCAAGGGGAATCCTTGAAAGCTTTCCCTCAAGAGGGAAATTTCTTTAGCTGAGGCTCCCAATCCTGAATTTACTTATTTAAAAAATTTCTATGCCGCTTTTCCACCCAACTTGGGGCCCCTAAGGCAGTGAATATTAAACCATTTCAAACATTAAACATTGTTTAAACTAGAAATATACATAAAGTATTTAAGATGATTAAATGAAACATATAAAAACAAAAACACAAACAGGGAGGACAGCTAATAAAAGTTAGTAAAGGAACACCAAACAAAACAAGAAAGTCTGGACCTGCTGCCGGAAGACAATGATAGAGGGAGACAGACAAATCTCCCTAGGGAAGGGTTTCCAAAGATTCATTGTCGCAACTAAGGCCCTTTTGTGGGTTGAGACCTTTCTAACCTCAGATGGTGGGGGTGTTCAAGAACAGCCTCTGAAGATGACTTCTGAAGAAGTTGGGTAGATTCATACATTCATTCATATCTACAACTATCTTTCCAAAATGATGTAAGATTTAAAGGGTTTCAATTATGTAAGGTTTAAATAAATAAATACACCAGACTGGTAGCCAGGGGTCATTTGGAGCCGGAACATGCCAGAACAGCGTTCCGGCAGGCTCAAGACAAGGAGCGGGCACATATGGCAGCAGCGGCAAGCCCCGCCCCCAGCTCCTAGCAGGCTAGTGGGGGAAGCCAGTCTCAGCTCCAGTTTCACAGCAGGGTTAAGGGAGACGCCAGATGAGTCTGCGTCCATCTAGAATGAGAGCAGAGTCTCTTCCCCTTGTGTTTGTGCAGCAACCCACCTCAGCTCCCGGCCCGGCCCAAGCAGCCTGGGTCTGGCGGGTGATCCGGGGGAGGCGGCGCAGGAGGCGGGGTGAGGTGGCCAGAGCGCCCATCTGGAGCATTGTGGCAGGCAGGGTGGCGGCGGCACTCGGGGCACAATGGTGGGGCGGCTCAGCTTGCAGGAGGTGGCAGATTTGCCGGATGCCAAGTGGTGCAGCGAGCGGCCCCTCGACAGCCCTGACTCTGGCCTGCCATCCAGCCCCAGCCCCGCCAACTGGCTGCCTGCACCTGGCAGCGGCTCTGGGCGCAGACTCACTGTCAACGGGCTGCAGCAGGAGCCTGAGCCGGCCAGGGTGAATTGGGGTGCAGGAGCTGGCTGGTCCTCACTGGGAGGGAGGGTGCACTGGAGGGAAGCCGGCCGACCCTTCTGCTAGGAGCCTGGGGGTCTGTGGGCCCAGCATGGGGAGACTGGTGCCTCACCCACCCCAGGTGCCTCGCCTGGCTCTTGACTGTCCACTGAACAGGTGCAAAGCAGGCAGAGATTCCACAGGAGCAGCCTTTCACCAGAGTCCTGCTGGGGAATGCGCTGCCTCTGGGACCCTGATGCCAGGCTGAGTAATAACAGGAAGAAAAGTTCAGCACCTCTGCAGAGCTTCTAAGAGCTTTCCCCCATACAAACAGCCCTATATGGTAGGCCAGAATGACAGTTTTCCAGCGGGAGGTCAGACTGAGGGTGCTTGGCCTAAGGCTACCAAGTAAGTGGAATGGTGGTGGGATTTGAACCAAGGACTTGAACATTTTTACTGCTCAGTGGTGATGCGGTGCTGGCCCTCATCTTGAAATAGCTCCTTCCTTCTAGTAGCTTTTGTGTGTAACCTTGTCACCCTAAGGCACATGGTCCTCGCAGCCCCTCTGCTTCAGTGGGACACCCTTTCCCTAAAGAAGAGGAGATTCCTACGTACTCCTTTCTTCTTCTAAGTGTTCTGCAGGGTGGGGCTGTCAACTCTGTGTCCTTCCAAAAGGTCATCTTGTGAATGTGAACTTCTTTATTTAGGGTATTTTGTGCTCTCTCTTCAAAGTCCTGCTCAAGGTGGCGCATGATTTATTTGTACCCTGGCTTTCTCCCCAGTAGGGACCGAGACTTGCATCATTCTCCTCTCCCCCATTTTATCATCATGACAAAACTGTGAGGTAGGTTAGACTGAGAGTATGTGACTGGCCCATGGTCACCCAGCGAGCTGCCGTGGCAGTGTGAGGATTTGAACCTTTGTCTCCCAGATATGAGAACCTTTCTTAGCTTCCCCAGCCAGCCTGCCTTGGCAGGCCACCTGGGGAAGGGAAGGGGAGGCTTTCAAAGATGCCTCCCCAAAAAGTTTTTTGCTTCTCCAGCCAGCCTTCCAAGGCGGGCTGGCTGGGGAAGCTAAGAAAGGTTGGGGAGACATCTTTAAGAGCTTCCCATGTGCTTCCTCAACGAGTGCGCCTTGTCAGGCTGGCTGGGGAAGCAAGAGGTATTTAAAGATGCCTTCCCATCTTTTTTTTGGTTTCCCAGCTGGCCCATCTTGGCAGGCCGGTTGGGGAAGCAAAGCAAGATGGGGGAGGCATCTTTAAATGACTCCTTTTCTCCTGGAGAATGGAAGGGGGATGGCATATAAATGCCTCCCCCTTCCTCCCCCAGCCATGGCTCTGCTGCCTTCCCTTCCCCAGCCATCCTGCCTGGCAGGCTGGATGGGGAAGGGAATGGAGGTAGAGTGGGTCAGTTTCACTCACCTGTGCAGTGGAGCCTGAGCAGTGGGTTTTGCCTTCTAACACACTTCCGGTGATGCCAGGGGTGTGTGGCATATGCAAATAAGTTATGCTAATGAGTTATGCTAATGAGCTCCTGCACCTCTTTTTCTACGAAATGGCCCCTGCTGGTAGCTATATGAAAGGGTTTACAACAGAGTCCAAAGGAGTCACACGTGGCCTACCAACACATACAGCACAGCCTGTAGAGCCCCCTGTTTGGTAATTCATCAGGCATTGCTGGACTCCATGCCCCGCACTGCCTCAGCTCTGAGTAGGGGTTAGCTCAGCAGAGTCATGGCAGCTGGGTGACAATGAAACCTCACCACAAGAGATGGGTGTCAACCTCTTAGGCAAGCTGCCAAGAGCTACAGGTGCCTAGGATAGTTTTTTCCTTTAAAATATTAACAAAAAAGCAGGGAGCCATTTCAAATAATGAAAGCTCATGGCTCTCAGGGAGCAGGTTTGTTCCCTTGAGGCTAGGTTTGCCGACCTGGAGAAGCTAAAGGCAGAGAGAGAGAGAGATTTGGGGAAGGCACCTTCAGGGACTTACCAGAACAGTACCACTCCTGTGCTGACAGCTCTTCTGCTGTTGTGGAGAGTGAGAGTCTCAAGGTTGGAGGGCGTCAGTCTAAGGAGGAAGGATGTTCTCCCTGAGAAGGGGATCCTTCCTTGGGTAATGGACCAATATCTTCTTGTACCCCTGGGGGATACCCCTGCAGGGCTAGGGGGGAGGTGGGCTTCTAGTAGTGGGTGATTCAATCATTAGGAATACAGTGAGTGGGGTTTGTGACAGGTGTTTTGACCACATGGTGACTTGCCTGCCCGGTGTGAAGTCTGTGGACATCACGCACTGTCTCGATAGGTTGATAGAAAATGCTGGGGAGGAGTCAGGAGTCATGGTGCATGTTGGATAAATTGACTTCTATGTTAAAAGGGCAAATGGAAGACGACTTCGTTGGACTATGGACTCCATTTTATAATTGGATAAGAGAGAAATATAAAGATATGAACTTTCTAATATTATAAGATTAGGAAGACTTTATGAACTTTTTAACCTCGCAGTTTATCTGTGTATAACATGAAATGACAAGTAGAGGAAAGTTACATGCAGAAAATCATTACTTTTGTTCTTTCCCCTTCCCCTTTCCCCTTCCTCATCCTTGTGTACTTTAAAAACTTTATAAAAATTTATTCATGAGTAGCTGCAGGGTTACTCCCAAGCTATTTGCTGCAAGTACGACCTTGCAACAGATGCCTATAAAAGCCAGTCAAGGGAGTCTGCTCGGTGTAGAACAAGTCACCACCTGGTGGACTTTGTGACCACAGCTCCTGATTCTGCTCCACTCCAATGACCTTCAGACTGGCTTTGGACTTGGATATTGGACCTGCGTGCTCTTGTACATGACCTTGGCCCCACAATATGCTAACAATGCTTCCTAAACTCCCATCCACTCATACCTCTCTTACACCTGCTTTATACTGATGACATCTTTACTGTCTGGACACATGGTAAAGAAGTCCTGGACACAATCCACCAGGCATTCAACGATTTTCACCCCACCATCAACCTGACAATCAACCAATCCATGCAAGAAATTCATTTTCTGGACACTACTGTAGAAGTACGCAATGGACGCATAGACACCACCTTATACCGGAAACCTACTGACCAACAGACATACCTACATGCCTCCAGGTACCATCCTAAACATACCAAACAATCTATCGAATACAACCAGGCTCTACGCTACAGCCACATCTGCTCCAATCCTACAGACAGAGATTCTCACCTGAAGGATCTACAACACAACTTTTTGGGACTAAGGTATCCACCTGATGAAGTCAGGAATCAGATTAACAAAGACAGAATGATACCCAGAGAAAACAGGCCCAAAAGAGACAATAATAGAACACCACTAGTGGTCACATACAGCTCTCTGCTCTAAACAGTTCAACGCATCATCAACGACTTACAACCTCTACTGGATAATGACAGTTCTCTTTCACAAGTACTGGGGGGCAAATCTTTTCTTGCGCACAAATAGACCCTCTGTCTCAAACAACTCCTCACCCACAATAATGCATCATCTAATTTGAACATGGACACTGCGACCAGAGCTTGCAATAAACCCAGATGCCAACTTTGCTGCCACATCCAACCATACAACACAATCATTGGACCTAACAACATCAACTACACCATCAGAGGCTCATTCTAACATTGTATATGCCATTAAATGCTGATAATGCTGTTTGGTTCTCTATGGCCCTTGCCACACGGGGGGGTGGGGGGAAGCACGGGCAAAGTGCGACTTTTGAAAGCCACATGAAAAGAGACACGTGGCGGCGGGATCACATAGATTCCTTGAGCTGCCGTGCAGTGCCTCGCCGGCACGATCAGATGCCGGGGGGGAAGCCACTGAAGGAAGAGTGCGGCAGCCGAACTGCGCATATGTGCGCATGCGCAGTTCGGCTGGGAGCCTAGATTGCTCCGGACAATGGGCGCGCTGGCGATCCCACGGCCGTGCTTGATGCGGCGTTCCAGGTAAGTCCTCCTCTGTAGGTGGTTCTTTTTTGCCGTGGGTTTTCCGGCTTTAGGGACAGATTGGGACGGGTGCGCGCTGCTTCCCAGATGTTGCAGTGAGATCGCGCCCGTTTGCTGCGCCCCCGATCCGTCCCTCTCCCGGGCCAAAACCTTCCGTGTGACCGGGGCCTACAAAGGGCAAACAGGACAAACCCTACGGCAGAGGATAAATGGACACAAATCTGACATCAGGGATCACAAGACTAAGAAACATGTAGGAGAACACTTCAACCTTCCAGGACATTCAGTGGGTGACAAAGTATCTGTTTTATTACAAAGGAACTTCAGGAACAGAATGGAAAGGGAAACTGCTGAATTACAATTACAACAGCTTGAACAAAAACCTCCCCAGGACTCAACAGGGATATGCTAACTCATTCAGTCCTCACATATGTATTTGCAACAAGAACTATACATCCTCTGTATTTTAGTGTATTTCTTTTTCAGAATAGTATATTAGAATACTTAGGGTTGCCAAATTCGTCTTCGCCGGGAGCGGGGGGACGCTGGGCACGCTGGGGGTGGGGCCACGGCCATACAGGGGAAAACCATAGAGTTTTCCCTTGTATGGCCGTGGCCCCCGGGGTTCCCCCGGGCCCCGATTCCGCCGCATCGGAAATCGGGGCTTCAAAGCGGGGGATTCCCAGCCCAAATTTGGTAGCCCTAAGAATACTGAATGTAATACAAGGAATACTGGAATGTTTTGCTGACAGAACACTGCACCCACCTCAAAGAAGGAAAAAATGCAGTTAAATTACCTCTATGCCTGAGTAGATGAATAGAAAGTCTCAGTTTACTTCTCACACATTCATCTCCTCTTGCTTTACTGTTTTCCTCCTTAAACAACTGTTGACCTTATAACCTTGTTAGCTTGTTACTTAGTTTTGTCTTCACATATTTTAAAACAGGAGCTGCGGTGGCTCAAGTGGTTAAGACGCTGAACTGCAGGCTGTGGCAGGTCAGTAGTTCAGCAGTTCGAGACCCGAGTTGCCACATGACGGAGTGAGCTCCCGTCTCTAGTTCCAGCTCCTGCCAACCTAGCAGTTCGAAAGCAAGAAATTGCAAGTAGATAAATAGGTACCACTTTGGTGGGAAGGTAACAGCGCTCTGTGCGCCTTGGTGTTTAGTCATGCCGGCCACATGACCATGGAAACGGCTTCAGACAGCGCTGGTTTTTCGGCTTTGAAACGGAGATGAGCATCGCAACCCTAGAGTCGGACTCGACTGGCTTTCGAGCAAGGGAACCTTGACCTTTACTATCGTAAAACTTCTTCATCGGGTAACACGATACTTTGCTGTTCAGCCTCTGTTTACAAGTTTGAACTCTTACCTTCCATTCCAACATATTTGAAAAAGTGTGCATGCACAACGAAGGACCAAGGGAGACATGCCTTGAGTCTCTGCTAGGGATGCCAGCCTCTAGGTAGGACCTGGAAATTCCTCAGAATTACAGCTGATCTCTAGACTACAGGGATCAGTTCCCCTGGAGAAAATGGCTACTTTGGAGGGTAGACTCTATAGCATTGTAAACCACTGAGGTCGCTATCCTCCCCAGGGTCCACCCCCAAATCTCCAGGAGTTTCCTAACTTGGAGCTGGAACTCTACCCCTTACCCCTGCTGTGTGGCCGAGGGGGACCTGGCAACCCTATATCTCCCACATGCCATGGAGAGGCCTAGGAAGGATGGAGGATGATGAATGGCTGATTAGCAACCCCCTCCCCTTCCTGAGCTGTAGCCACGAGGACCTGGAGGCCAAGAGTCTGATCCAGCAAGTACTGGGGTTTATACTATGCTATGAGACAGAAGTAGGAAATTAATAATATGCAGTATAAGATCCAAGCACAATGCTAGAAAGACAGAATGTTACTAAAAATTAACTGAGGTGAACTCTTATTCCTATGAATGCCACTTGGGATTTTTTTTTGTTAGCTGTTTTAAGGCTGCTTAGAGAAAGGGTGGGATATAAATATTTAAAATGAATTTTTAAAATGCAATTAGCAAATCTTTCAACATAGAGGCTGCAAATTAGTTCTTGATGGGAAACATCCCAAAATTCACCATATGAATAACATGGATTTCCTGTACAGTTCTAGGCAAGACATTAGCCCTGTTCACAAGTTACAGTGAACACACAGAACAATCTGTGTGTACAGTGTACAGTTGATTTCCCTTTATATGTGCAATGAGTAATTCTCATGCTACATTCAATGCATGTACAGCTTAATTTGTGACTAACTCCATATATATCCAAGTACCGGCTCCCAGTTTCATTTGTTGGCTCTTTCTTACAAACAGGAGTACGCACTTACATGCAGGTTGTATGGGTGTTCACTGTAACATGTGAGCCAGGCTACTTACATGTGGATAAACCTTGATTGCTCTTTCAATGTTGTCCCGCACACTAGCCCTCATGATCCTTTCAACTTCCAGCAGCCAGTCCTCCACATTGCCCGTGGGATAAATGGGAGAGAAAAGCTTCACTTCTTCCCCTTCTGCAGAATACATATGTGTAATCTGGAGATCTTCTTGAAAGAGCAGCTAATGAGATGAAAAGCACAACATGAGATGCCAAGTGGAGTGTTATTACACCTTTTTGGAGTTGGACAATATTTTAGTCCTCTTACAATCAACAATCAGATGACATAAACCCATTTCAAACAACAGACTATGTTGACTTTCATTACTGTAGGGTCTTACCACACCTGACTTACTAGATATAATATGTGCAAAATTACCAATTTTATACATTGAAACATTACATGATATGTAGAAAAACAGGTTGCTTACCTGTAACTGATGATCTTCGAGTGGTCATCTGTGCAGTCATATGCATGGGATTATGCGCTTGCATAGATCCGGATCGGTGGTATGCAAAGCTCACAAAGGGATTTTCGCGCCACTTTCCCAGGCATGCGCGGAACCCCACTGCGCATGCCCAAGGAGGAGGGGCACGGACATCCCGCCAGTTCCTTCTGACCGCTGTCATGTCAATAACCGGAGAAAAGTACTGAAGCGACAGCAGTGGGGAAGGACAGGCGGGTGGTGTGACTGCACAGATGACCACTCAAAGATCATCAGTTACAGGTAAGCAACCTGTTTATCTTCTTCGTGGTCTCTGTGCATCACACCCATGGGAGATTGAAAAGTAGTGGCTCACCTGGAGGTGGGAGCTGTCACAAATTCAATGCTCTTCTGACAAAAGGACTAGATGACCAAGGTCCACTCTGCGGCACTCACGAATAACAACAGCGTAGTGCTTGATGAAGGTGTTCGGAGAAGACCATGTCGCAGCCCCACAGATCGCCGACAGGGAAGCACCTCTTAAGAAGGCTGTGGATATAGCCACGGAACTTGTGGAGTGTGCTCGCACAGGCAAAGGTAATGGGAGCTTAGCCAGCAGGTAGCACAGCTTAATAGTCTTGACAATCCATTTGGAGAGATGTTGTGCTGAGATCTTTAGCCCTGGAGTAGGAGACAAATAAATGATCGTCCCTCCTACTTGAACGTGTCCTATTTAGGTAAAAAAGCAGCGCTCTCCTAACACCTAGAGTGTGAAGGAGACACTGCTGTCCATCTTCCGGGTTAGGGAAGAAATTAGGCAATAAGATCTCCGAGGCTAGGTGAAAGTCGGAGACCACCTTAGGCAGAAAAGATATGTCAGGCACCAGTCTCACACCATCCAGTAGGAAAACAAGGAATGGTGGGTCATGATGCAGGGCCACAAGTTCGCCCACCCTCCTGGCCAAGGTGATGGTGACGAGAAAGGTAGTGTTCCATGCTGCATGCTTTAGCTCGCAAGTCGCCATGGGCTCAAAGGGCCACCCCATGAGATGGCAGAGCACCAGCGGTAAATCCCAAAAGGGTACCAGTGAACAGATCGGTGGATACGTGGAGGAGACTCTTCATAAATCTTTTTGAGACCGAGTGAGAAAAAACGGAAAAGCTGTCAAAGCCCAGATGGTAGGCAGAAATTGCCAACAAATACACCCTGATTGAGGAGTGTAAGAGGCTCTTCTTTGCCAGTGAGAGCAGAAAGTCTAAGACCTGGTCAATCCTGACAGAAGCCGGGGGGACATCAGAGGGCTGTATGGAGGCCAAGAAGCCAGCCCACTTCCCACTGTAGGAACGTCACATAGAATCTTTCCTGGCACTGAGTAGCACAGTGGTGATTCTGAATTGTCAGGCGTTCTGAACAGTCAGTGCTGGTATCAGAGATGAAGGATCTGGAAGGCGATACTGGTGCCACAGGGGTATCCGGTATCGGAGTGACTTTCGGGGGTAAAGTAAGGGTGGAATGGAGAGGAGAGAGGGCCGACAAGGTTCCTCTGTGGCTTTGGACTGCAACACGGAAGGCTTAGATTTACGATGGGGAGAGCGTGAATGACGTGATCCACAATCCCAGTCTGACTGTGGCCTAGGCGTCAGCCATGGCATCGATGCTGACATTGAATACGATGTGAACCAACAAGGCATGTGCCCCCTATGGTCCAACGATACAGGTGGGTCAAAGTAGGTCGGGGAGTGCGGTCTCAATTCCCGTCTAGGCAAGTACGAGAGCATGGGCCTGGAATGACGGTACTCTGGGCACTCCTCAGGTCGATATCGATACTCCTCGCCTCTGGGCGATCGGGATCAACAGTGTCGAGAGCCCAGTGCCGACTGATCACTTTCCCAGGAAATTACCAACTGAGAACGATCTCTACGGGGCTGACGCAGGACCATTTCCTCGACTTCAAACGGCGAGGCCAAAATTGGTCCGGAGTCGACAGAAGCCTCCGATACCGGGGGGGTTCAGGTGCTGGATGGGTGAGTCCAATAACTCAATCGTAGGCAGCTCTGGTACTGGAGTATCAACGACGTCAGGTTGCACCCGCTGAAGAGGGGGTAATGCAGAGCCCGATTGCACTTTCTCGCCACTCAGATTCTGAGACTTATGCACAGTGCCGGTGAGAGAAGACTTAGCTTTCTTGTGCTTCTGTTTTTTCTTCTTTCTGGCCAGCGTAGAGGCGGAAGATGCATTGTTCGATGCCAAGCACTTAGAAGACTGCCCCCCGTCCGATGCCGACTTTGCACGGTGTGGGGGAGTCGGTGCTGAGGTACCTCCCGATGTCGACATGGTCGTCGTTGGTTGGGAGACCAAAGGAGTCTCGGCCGACATATGTCCCACAGGCACGAGAGTCAATGCCGATTCCCAAAGCGCTACTCGAAGCCTCGCAACCCTGTTCCTGTGAGTCTGGTTCAAGAACTTCGCACAATGGCGGCAAGTGTCTGGGCGATGAGTCTCCTCGAGGCAAATAATGCAGAGTGTGTGGCCATCATGAGGGGCAAGTTTGCTGCCACAGCCAACACACAGTATGAAACAGCCCCCTATTTTGGCCATAAAAGAGTAAAATGGTCCAAAAGAAAAAAGTCCTTAGATGAGGTGAAATTTTACCTCAGAGAGAGGGAGGGGGGAGGCGGGAAGCCACCTGAGGCAGCGGCAACCCTTAACAAAAAGTCCTTATATATATATATTTCTAAAGAACAAAATAAAATAAACACTATAAGCAAAAAAAGTACAATTTCAATAATCCCTCGGGAGAGGAAAAAACGCTTCTTCACTGACTGGCAGAAAACGAGCTGTTAACAGCGCAGCGGTCAGAAGAGAACTGGCGGGATGTCCGTGCCCCTCCTCCTTCGGCATGCGCAGTGGGGTTCCCGCGCATGCCTGGGAGAGAGGCGCGAAAATCCCTTTGTGAGCTTTGCATACCACTGATCCGGATCAGTGCGGGCGCATAATCCCATGGGTGTGATGCACAGAAACCACGAAGAAGATCTAAATGTATCATTACATGATAAAATGTAGAACTAAATGTAGAACTACATGCAGCCTGCTGAAAATTATTCATACCACAGGCTCTGATGTCTGTCTAGGTAGGTACAGTCAATCTTCTGTCCAGTTTGTTTTATTTGTTGAAATCAACTTACTGTCCACTTTACTGATGTAGGGTTAAACTGACAGTTTGAAAAAGAAAAATACTACGTCAGTTCAAATCAGCTCATATGGACTTTGTATGTTCACTAGTATATTCCCTAGATGCTTATGCATCAATGAAGGCCACAATATGTAAATTTCTGTAGACTGCGCCAATGAAAACCGCTAGTATAATAATCCTAATGATTAAAGGTAAAGCAGAATTGGAATTACCCCCAGATTAATCTGCCAGTAACTTTCCACCTGATAAAATATGGACTAGGAGCAATAGATTAAAGCCACAATTCATCCCAGAGTTAAAATTTACCAAAGCCAACTGACATAGATGAGCCAACTGTCTGCTCAATGGTTACACTGCGGTCTAAATACATCTTTGCGGTTGAGTTCATGGTCTTTTCTAAGGGATAAATGTGTGTATGTATATATATATACGTGTGTATGTATACATATATGTGTATATATATGACAGACCTGTTAAAACTACTATCATACTGTTTGTCTTTCTAAAGAGTCACTAGTTATGCAAGCAAATATTGTATTCCAAGCATGCAATGCTGCAATGTTCTTCTTTTATGCAGAGACACAGCATTCTGTTCCATATTCATTTCTAAATCTGGAAAAATATCATTTGCTATTAGAATCACACTAGCATAGCAGAACCTAAATGCTCCAGCTATCTCCAGCTATACCACAATATAAGCATTCCCAAAGCAGGATTTGTGTCCTACCCCAGAGAGAAAAAGCTATTATTTACCCGTGCAATATTCTCAAAACACTTGCGGAGATGAGGCTGCACAGCTGTGGGGTCCTTGGTCTGAGACAGTATTTCTAACAATTCATCATCAGAAAGGAAGTAAAATCTGGAAGGAAAGAAGGCTTATGTTTTTGTCTCTGCTCTGCAGCATTCATTCTAGTAACAGCACTACTGACGAAATGCTGAAAACTAACTTTTTTGGCCTCAATCCTAAAAGCATTTATTCCAGCACAGAATCTGTTTAGCAGTGGATACTAGTGGGGGGCTGAGGTGACATCCTTTCTGAAAAACGCTGTCTGCACAGCCAGTCTGATCACAGACTATAGTGTGCAAAGCCTGCATAATGTGTTTTATGTGATTTTATGCAGATTATCAGAGCACCAATTTTATTATGTATGTAATACTGTTTTACTGTTTTAAATTTTAAATTCGGCATTGCCGCTTGTTAGCCGCCCTGAGCCACTGGGCAGGGAGGGATATAAATCCCAAAATAAATAAATAAATAAATAAATAAATGTAAAGTGTGTTTTTAAAAAATGAGAAAAAAAATACAGTGGCTTGTGCATTGACTGGAGCACATAGGTGCAATCATATCACACACATTTTAAAACAGCTCCAATGGTTACCTGTACAGTACAATCTTGATATTGGTGGGGAATCCTTTCCCAGGATCACCACAAATGGCAAAATCTGTGATTACTGGGAGGCAAGGGTCTACTGTCCAATAGTAGAAAATCAGTTTTCTAATATAATTTAATTATCATGGCACATTCGGCATAAATGTAGGCTGGAGACTGCCATGTGATCAAATCACAAACTGCAACTAAGCAATCCACAAACTGGTCTGCCGTATGGATCCAGGCATCATTCAAGGTGCTGATTCTTTCCTTTAAAGTACTCCATGACTGGGACTGACATAACTAAGGGGATAATCTTTCATCCTTCCCAGCAATCTCTCCTGGTTGGTCCCTTGGCTCATGTTATTAGATCGGCTGTTCCCCATTCACAGGCTTTCTTAGTGGAGCACCCTCTTTGTGGAAGTCTCATGAAGGATGTTAAGAGGGCACCTAACTTGGCAGTTGTTAAAAAACACTGTCAAGCAGCATTGTTCAGGAGGGCTTTGAAGAAAAGTGACGTTGCTGCAGTATGTCGAAAGATTGAGAAAAAGAAAAACAAACAATATATCTATATAAAAACAGATAGATATCTTAAATAAATCAAGAGAATGTCCCCTTACATCCAAAAAAGTCTAATGTGTATCCTACAAATGGAGCTTATAGATAGCAGACACATCAAACGTCTTTGGATGTGTGTTGGGGTGGCGGTGTTCGGTTGATTCATTTAAGACATGTGTCTGATTTTATATAGATATGTTGTTGTTTTCTTTTCCTCCAACCTTTAGGGTTACCTAATCAATCTGTCTTTTTCCTCTTTTGCTGCTGATGCATGTGCCATTAGGAGATTCAGAACATAGGCTGTGGGTGTTATATTATTGTATGTTTGTATTGATTTTGGCTATTGATTTAGATCCATGGTGGTTGTCAGCTGCTTTGAGCCTTCTATATGGAGGGGAAGGGTGGGTTACAAATATTTTATTAAATAAACTAAATGTGTTGCTGTGAATTTAACTTCTGCATCGTTTGTCTCCTCCCAAATAATGAGGCTGAATGTGTTACCCAAATTGGCAGTCTCCTGATTAGTGGGGGAAATTAGCTTTGAGGAGACAAAGTGAGACGTGGGTTACTGGGATTCTCCACCCATGTATACGGGGATCTTTCCCTTCGAGAATTCTCAAAATAAACCAGTCCGATGAGCAAATGGAAAGGATTTTATTGAAACGGGAATAAAAGGGAAATACAAACACATGGTTAAAAAAACCAAAATATCTAAGAGGAAATCAGGGAGGAGATGGGAGAAAGCAATTTTGGGGAGGTGATAGTTATCATTCTTGAAGAGTGAGGTCTGTGGAGGCAGCAGTGAAATGACCAGCATTTCACAAAGAAGAGGAGAAGGCCCACACAAAAGTGGGGATGTATGTATGGGTCCCAGAACACACACACACTGCTATGGCACAGTGTGCTACAGTTATAGGGAAAATGTTCCCTGGGGCAGTCTGATGTGTTTGCCCCCAAAATAATAACTTGATGGGTTTCTTGGAGGTGAACAATGATTTGGGAGGCACATGATGAGTTTTCCTGAGGGTTTTTCTGAGGTGATCTATAGGTGTTAATGTCTCTTGATGACCCTTTGAGTATCAGATAGAAAAGCTAATAGGTATTGTGAAAGGTGTTACGTGTTGCTTAGTTAGGGTGAATGGGTGCAAAGGAGTGAGGCTGGGTCATATGATGGGATTAGTCCAAGGTGAGGCAGTCTGTCTAAGCTATATGTCCAGGCCTGTCCTGGCTGGCATCCATCTTGTGTCATTTTCCATTATATTTTATGGTTCAAGGGGCATACTCAGAGACACTCTCCACTCCTTCACTACTGCCCCAGAAATTTTTTTTAAACTTAAATACGGAAATTACCTTGGAAAGGCTCCTCTCTTGGTCTCCAAGTACTCACTTAGGCCTTTCTGTACTAGGTCCAATAGTTTATTACATTCCCGCAACTTTTCCAGCAGCCTGGGCTCAGGGCACACAGTAATCACCTGGGAATGGCATGAACAACATTTAGTTCTGTGAGTACCTCAATAACTTAGTCACTAGAGCAGATATGAGGCAAAGAGCAAGTAATGTTTAAAAATGCTGTAAACAGGGTTGCCAGGTTCTGTCCACTCATCAATGGGGGATTTGGGGGGGTGTCCCTGGAGGGGGTGGGGATGTGCCCAATGTGATGATGTCACACAGAAGTGACATCAATTCATTAGGGAGGCAGCCTGAACTGCAAGTGGCGAATTTGCTGCTTGGAGTTCAGGCCCCAGGGGCCCCCATTTATAAAAAGCATTTCAAAGGTCCCTTTAAATGCTTTGTACAAGTAGTAGTAGAAGAAGAAGAGATAGGATTTATACCCTGCCCTTCACAGTCCAAAGGAGTCTCAGAGCGGCTTACAATCTCCTTTCCCTTCCCTTTCCCACAACAGACACCCTGTGAGGTAGGTGGGGCTGAGAGAGCTCTGACAGAAACTGCTCTTTTTCAAGAACAGCTGTGCTAGAACTATGGCTGAACTAAGTGAGGGTCACTGGAACCTGAACTCCAAGCAGTGAATCTGCTGCTTGCAGTTCAGGTGTGCAGCCATCAGCTGCCCCTGTCCCTCCTCTCCTGCAAGTTTTAAAGGGCCCTCCAGCCGATTGGCAGGCCATGTCCTTCAGCCGATCAGCTGGAGGGCCCTTTCAATCTTGTAGGATGGGAGGGAGAGGGTTGGCCCCTGGTGGCCGCTCTTGGCTGGCAGCGAGGAGGAGCCCACAAAATCAGCGGATCACCCGCCCCCACTTGGGGACTGGCATCCCTAGCTGTGAAGTTTTGCTTTTCGGATCATTGGTCAGAATGCTGGCATTTACACAGTAAAAGAAAGGGCTTACTATTAGCATGAAGTATAGTGGTATTAACACCAAGGAATGCAATGCAGAAAGCTGGGAAAGGAGGCATAGGAAGGATCTGATTACACTTCAAGCCATTTATCTGCTATACACACAAGGATCACACTGAGACTGCTATGCCTGTCATGATGAAGTGAAAACAGGCAGGGGAGGAAGAAGCTGATAACATGACAATTCCTTAGTTAAGAAGGCAAAAATACTCCATAAGTATCAGAATTTTAGCCAATGGCTCAGTTAAGACAGTCATCCCAGTTATGAACTGGAAATGTGCTATAGGCTCAAA